AATATGCAGACCAACATGTACAGAGATGAGGATTCAAAAGAGAAAGACCCTGATCTCTATGGACCTCTAGTGGAACTCGTCAGTAAGGTGCCCTTTTAGTGGTGTTTAATTTTGTAGAAGTTTGAACGTTATTGTCGAATTCGTTGCTTTATTTCTTCCCAGAGTTATTTTTGTGATCAGTGCAGATCATGTCGAATTTGGAAGGGGCTGCAAAAAGATTTTACGACAGCGAATTCGATTTGTTCAAACGTATCACTGATATATCCGGGAAAATAAAACCTTTCCCGAAGGGCGAAGCAAGAAAAAAAGCTTGCCTAAGCGCGATTGCTGAAATACAGCTCGAGACGGTAACTTATTTGCCATCGAATCCAGAAGCTGTGGTTCTCGATATTGATTACAAGAGCGCAATGCCAATGCAGAGGTATGCTAGAAAGATTGGCTTATTTTTTTTAATTTTGCAGTTTTTAAATAATCCCTCGTGTGTCGGTAGATCTTTTCAACCATCAAGCTGTTAAACAACTGTTGTTCCTTAAATTTCGAGAACTTTGCGGCTTTAGTCAGACTGAAGACCAGTTCCTGTTCCGCCTTTTGTGTTGTCTCTAATCACTGCATGTCCAGAGTTCCAGTGCTTCTAGCTTTCTACTGTTTCTCTTACCAATCCGTAACGGTGCTCGTGTTTGGATCTACTTCTAATGCCAAGCTCATTTGCTTGCCATAATTTAGCAAAGCCTCGGTGGATGTGATTTCGGCAACTTCGGAATGGTGTTTTCTGGTCTGCCACAGATTAGGGCCCTTAGTCTTCCTCACCTTTTCAGCTTTGATGAATTTCATTGTGGTATTTGCAAGAAGTAAGTAAGACAAAAATTGATTGGAAATCTCGAGCACTTGATATGCTCTCTTTTTTGGTAGCTTCTCTGCCTTTGTTTTTTTGCCGTCGCCTTCTGCAGGCATTTAAGTATTACTGCTTTCAGTGTTTCTGGCATCTGGCACTTTTGTTGCCATAAATTTGTAAAAATGTGGCTCATTATTTGAGAGTAATTGTACAGTACTGCTCATTTTGGTCTCTCTATATTTCGGGCTGCTTGATTGCAGTAGATTGTGTAGACAGCATTTTATCTTGTTAGAAGAAGTATGTCACCCAGTGTACAATTCATGCTGTTAAAGCAGTTTCATTGCTTTTAGAAGTGATTTGTGAATGATTGCAGCGCAGCGAAAGCGCCCTTCTTGACTCGATTCAAAGTTCGACGTTGCGGTGTGCAGGAATTAGAACGGATTGGGATCGCTGCGCATCAGCGCCATCCCCCTCCTGAAGCAGATATTCGATCGCTGGCTCGATCCGAGGACAGTCGAGTTTGCTGGCAGGCCGCCATTTTTAAGGTTTAAAATTTTTTTTTTTTAATTTTACTGCATCTTTCTCGATTTTCTGTGTACTTGAGAATGTAGTTGATGATCGCTGTAAGCTTCTAACTTCTGTTATGCGAGCTGTAATGTCGCAAGTTTTTGAAGAAAAAAGACCCGGTTCAACTCTTTTAATTTTGCGATTCAGTTGGCGAGATGTGTAGTTTTTAGCATAACAGCATTCAGTCATCAGTTTTGCATTTCATTTTAGCACTTTCAAGCTTATTTTGGTGCGCTTTTGGCTCAGTTTTATTGCCTTTAAGCAGATTTAGGGCTCATCTAAAAAAGTAGGCGTTATTTGGAGATAAATGATGACAGCATTATTCTTCTACTTGGTTTTTAAGCATTTTTAGCTGGCTTTGCACGTTTTTACACTTTTTTTATCATACGTGGATTGCTTTGATGATCCCTGCCATTACATTTGTGTTTCATCCAATCATGTGCGTTAAAAAAAAGTAGACATTACATGGAGGCAGAAGATGGCGACA